TTGACACATACACTCCATGGTCAGAGCATGGAACCGGCACTTCTCCTCATGGTTGGGGTTCTGAGATCAGCAGTTCAATTGGAGGGATCCCCAAAGAAACTTTGAAGTGATACCAGACCTGATTCTTGTGTGTGCATGCAGGTACAGGGTCCAGCACAGTCTGTCTCCCCAATAAGCTTATGCATATGCTGATGGTTGCAATTGCTGGGTCATTTCTGTTTCCATAGGAACCAATGGTGTTGCAATCCAGCCTGATTCTGCCCACCACACACTCAGCCCTCACACAAACCAGTGGGAGCTGCAGCCTACTTGGAGTGATCAGCAATAACCCCCACCGGGCCTGCCCCCTGCCCTGGTTCCCGTGCTTGCCAGTATGTACCGCAGACTGGTCCAGTCTGTCCCACAACCCATTCAGCTCTCATACATGTCAATGGGCACTGAAGCATAGTTCAACCCAACCAGCCCCACTATCCAGCCACACACATGCTGGCGGGTGCCTTTCTGTCTAGCCATCCCTGCCCCAGTTCTAGTTTTCATGCTCTTTAGTGGGAATGATAACCCAAGAGGGAGGTGCCCACTATTTCCCTACTGGGCTATGCCCACTCCCAGATCATGCCCACTCCAGGTGGTTCTGGAGTTTAACTTGACAGAATTAGCCCCCAGTGCCAACATGTGTCAGCTGATGCTGTGGCAAAGCCCAACCGACCCTCACCCACTGATTTATGCTTGCACCAGTAGGAACAGTCAGCCCACCTGACTTTTCCCTAATCTGGGTCATATGAGGCCCACAGGTGTTATAGCCCCTGCCTGGTCTGGTCTGCTCCCATCCCGACTCATACTCTCCAGTAGGAGTGGTTGTCCAGCAGGGGATCCCTCCACATTCCCATTACCAGTTTTATTCCCTCTTCTCCTGGTTCTCATGTGTGCTGTTTGGGCTCTACGGCCCAGTCTGGCATGGCCCTCTTGCCTTGGCATTTGCCAGTGGGTGCGGTAGCCTGGCCTGGCCTGGCCTGGCCCATCCCCCCAATTCCAGCTAATGCTGGTGGGGATTACAGCTTAGCCTGGCCCAGCAGGCACCCAATCCCACCCATAAAGTGTACTGGTATGTGTTCCTAATGTGTCACTGAAGAAATGAAAAAGAAAATCAAGAACCTTCTTGAAGAAAATGATGCTACTGTATGATCTACGAGTCAGTGAAGAATTTGATCAGAACAAAGTGTTTTGAAGAGATGAAACATTAAAAAAAAATCCATTAGATATACTTTCCGCTGATCTTTGTTGGTGAAATTGGTGGAATGTGTCTCCTGTAGGCAACAAATAGATGGGTTTTCTTTTTAAATCCAGTCTATTAATCTATGACGTTTGATTAAAGAGTTTAGGCAATTTCCATTCAGGGTTAGTATGAATGTGTGGTAATTTGGTTCTTTCATTTTAGGAATGGGTTGTTCATTGATTTAGTCTTCTGTTGTCATTTTACTGGGATGTTCTTCACATTTGCCTTTGGTTTTGGTGGGTGCTATTCCTCTTTGTCAAGAGAACATCTTGAAGTGTCCTTTTTAAGGCAAGTTTGGAAGAGGCCTATTCTTTTTAATTTTTCTTGACTGTGGAAGAATTTTATTTCATTTTCAAAGACAAAGGAAAGTTTTGCTGGGTATGTTATCCTGGGATGACAACTTTTTGCTTTTAGAATTTGAAATATGTTGCTCTATTCTCTTCTGGCCTGTAGCATTTCCTGTGAGAGGTCTCCTGTGAGTTTAATTGGCATTCCTTTATATGTCAGTTGATTTTTTTCATGTGTACATTCAAGGATCTTTTCCTTATGTTTGATTGAAGAGAGCTTGATAATCATGTGCTGTGGTGAAGATCACTTTTGGTCAAGCCTGTTGGAAGTTCTGTGCCCCTCCTGGATCTTGTTTCCCAGTTCTTTCTCTAGATTAGGGAAATTTTCCTTTATTATTTCATTAAATACATTTCTAAACCAAGCTTCTCTTTCTGCATCTTCTGGGACTCCCATAACTCTTATATCTGGCCTTTTAATAGTGTCTTTCAATTCTTGAATAATCTTTTTACCCTGATCCAGCTCTGCTTCCAGCTTTTTGTTTGCTTCCCCCTGATGATAGGAAATATCTTTTAATTGTGAGATTTTTTCTTCTGCCTTCTTCATTCTGTTTTGGAGACTCTCCACTGGACTTTTAATTTGCTCTACTGTGTTCTTCATTTCTGATATATCAGCTTTCATTTGACTCATTTCCTGTGTGATATATTCCTTAAATTCCTTGAATGCCTGCTTTATGTGCTTCTTGTTGATAAGATTTATAACAAGTGTTATAAAATTCTGTATCACCCATTTTCTCGATGTTTTTCTCAGTGAAGTCTGAAGTTGGCCAAGCACTTTGCTCTTTTGCAGGGGAGTCTTCAATGAGATTCATTGTGCCTTTGTCTTTTCTTTTGCTCTTGGTCACTGTACTTCTGGTTAGCAGAATCTTCTCCTTGGGGCAGGTTTCTAAGCTGTGTCACCCACAAGTCTACAGTTTGATTTTGCTTATTATGGTTGGTACATGGCTCTTTGTTTGCAGTCACTTGTGCCACTCCCTCCAGCGAGTTCCAAGTCTGCATTTTTATGTTAGATTACCGCCATGATCTCTGTAGCTCCAGCTCCTGGCTCACTAATCTCTACCTCCTGTGATCCCATGCTGAGGCTGCACCACTGTCTGTACAACCTTTCTCCCACTTCCGGTTGGAGCAGGTCCCAGAATTAGGGAGACACCAGGTATCCTATATATCTAGGTTGTTGGTGCTGCTGGTCTTGCTGGAACCTGTTGGCCATTAGGTATAAGGGTCACATGGACCTATTTTGACCCGTACAATGCCGTAGTTGGTATTTTTTTCCTGTGGGACCCGTGCAATGCACATAGCTCAGTGAGTTTTTGCCAAGCTCAGCGCATGCGCAGCTCACTGTTGTCTCTGCAGTTTTAAATTCTAAGCCACACAGTAAGAAATGGCACCTACTAGAGTTCTTGATTTGCTGGCTGTCATGTCTGATTATTACCTGATCCTTCTTGGGTGGGACCTGTAGGATGCCACGTTGTTGCAGCTTTCTGACCCAGAACTGAGTTTACTTCCAGCTCAGTGCGTGCACAGTGCTGTCCATAGCCCTTGCCTCCTTAAACAAAACAGCACCCAATTTGACTCTAGGGGGCTGACTGGGCTGTGAAATCCACCCTGTTCTCACACTGCCCATCTGGGATCTGCTGTTCTGTCTCTGCTCCTGGTCAAATCAAACAGATCAGCAGAACGGGCAGTTCTTCGTTCACTGCCTCAGCTCCCAGTGAAAGCCCCTTCCCACCTTGTTGCTGGTGGAGTTCTGGCTGCTGGTGCAATTCCGATCATCACTTGCTAAATGCTACTGGGGTATCAGTCACTGCAACACCACACTGTTGTGTCCTCTGCTTTCCTCTGTGTCTGTCAGTCTCCAAGTACCCCTATGCTGTTGTTCTGGAATATGTCCTCTCTGCTTCACACTGGTTCATATTTCTTCATCTGTTTAACCATGTCCTTACCCTATCCAACCATCTGTATCTTCCCCAACCTGATTCTGTTCTTTCTGGTGGGCTAAGGTTTGCTCAGCCATGCCCAGTCCTCCCCCTTCCATAACCAGCCCACACATTAGCCAGCCTTTGGAGCTACTTTGCCCAGCTTTCCCAACCCCCAGGTTTGTACCATGTGATCATCAGTGAGAGTTGTGATCCACCTAGGCAGTTTTTCAAGTTCCCCCATTTGACCCACTCCCAGACCCAGATATCATACATGCCAGTGGGTGTTAGGCCTTGCCCGGCATAATCTACCCTTCTATCTTGGGCTCATATGAGCTGGTGAACGTTGCAGCCTGGCCCCCACCACACCCTGTTTTATTATGCATATTCAGGTGCTGCTGCCTTGACCTGGCCAGACTGTTGGTTCCTTCACCTGTGATGATGGTAGGTTCCAAGAATCACCACCACAACTTTTAAGCTAACCAGTGGGACTTGTATTTCCATAGGGTTTGACCCATTTATCCCCTGCATAATCTGCCCCCAGACCTGGTTCTTTTGCATGCCGGTTGGTGTCATGACCCTTCCTTATGTGACCCATACCCTTTCCACCACTCAGTCAGGTACTGGGATCTATCCCTGCTAGAAATGCCCCCAGCCACAGCTTTCACATGGATTGGCATGTGGCAGTTAGCGATGTTCTATGCTAACATCTATCTCAGGACTCCCAGGTGGGCTGGTGAATCAGTTTGACGCAAACATATCATACGGATTCTCCCCTTCAAACCACCTGGTCTCAGTCCCCACGCTTGCCAGCAAGTTCAGTGACCTCATTGCTGGGAGTCACACAGGGTTCATCCCTCACCTACACTCACATTGGCCTTATTCATGGATGTCTCTAGGCACCAATTACAGACCCTCAAAACCCTAGAGCTCGCCGCGTGCAGCCAGCAGGTGGAGCTCTTGCCACTTGACGCACTGGTGGCCCAAAAGCCCAGGATTGCTTACCACGTGGCGATGGTGTCCACAGAGTTTCAAGCATTGGGTCTGATCTGGCTCATGTATCCTGCACAGCTGCCATGCTGCTGAGGGCTCCTTTTACCCAAGCCCCGTGGTCGAACACCCACTTCCTAGGTTCCTCCTGCTACAAGGTGGTGGTGTGTCCATGGCCAGAGTCCCAAGCACCGGTCTGACCTGGTTCAAGTATCCTCTGCAGTTGCCAAGCTGCTGAGGGCTCCTTTCACCCAAGCCTCACAGTCAAACCATTCCTTAGGCCTTAAGGTACTGCATTCCCTCACCTGCCTGGTGGGGCCCACGTAGGGCCTGGAGAGGACATTACAGTCCACTATGAGGAGTGAGGTGCTGGGGCTCCAGTTTTCCTGCAGCTGGAAGCTGGGGACCCCAGTGTTCTCTGGCACCACCCAGCCCACTCCAGCCCTGGTGCACCAATGGACCCAGAAAGCTGCATACCTTGGGCAATGTCGTCCTGCCTCTGCAAGCAAGGCCGCTCCACCTTGTGCCCAGCCTGGGGCTGTTCTCGCTCTGGCTGTTTGGAGCACCTCCCTTCATTGAACACATGCGGCAAGTTGGCTGTGTGCACCTGTCGGAGCTGCTCATAGTCGCTGAGAGCGGCTGTTAGGTCCCAGTTTTTGCCTAAGGGCAAGAAATAACAAGAGATTATACAGTTTCAATGCACAAGTAACAGTTGTATTATGGAAAAGAACCATGGCAAGGAGAGCCCATTTACAAGGAAACCAATGAAGTCTCCATTGGTAATTTGTATTTTTCAAAGGGGAAATTACCTTCTGCCCAATCTCTGGAAGTAAATTTCACATCTGTAACTGTTACACTCTTCAAATATGTGACTTCACACAGCCTCCACACGCACACGTGTGCACATACACACATACATGCATATGCCATCAAAACACTACACTCCCAATGTTCATATGCTCTCAGAAATTAAACTGTAGGGAGAAAAGCACAAAGTTAAAAAATGATGGAGAAGCAATCCTAAAGTTCCTTTGGGCTTCTGTTCAGAGTTCTACTGCTTCCTTTTTGCTTGACACAGAACAGCAGAAGCTGGGAAGACAGCACTCGCTGGAGAGCCTTAGGGGAAGGAGCAGTCAAGAGATCAGTTCTGCGCTGGGTGGGATGCTGGCTGCGGTCAGGGTCACCAGCACCCCAGCTGACCCTGGACTGGCACACAGCCATGGTGGAGAGGCGCCTGGGGGTGTAAAGGTGGATGTATGTGGGGTGGCTGAGTAGCTCTGCCTTTTGGTTCAGAAAGCCTGGGGCTTCTTACAAAAGAATCAACACACTTTGATCACACCCCACACCTAACCTCATCAAGCATCAGGTGCTTTTTTGAAAACAAAGAATTATAAGCTTAGCCTTAGTTTTAAGGAGAAAATCCAGTCTTATCCTCCTCCTGGTTCACATCAGACTGCAGGTCCTAACAAAGTCACTTCTGAATGAAGTATAGGCACAAGAAGGAGACTGCGTCAACACAGTGTTGGAAAACCATTCTTTTGTCTTTCTTCATTGTTTTCTCTTGTAGAGACCATCCTATCAGCCATAATAGTTAAATTACTGATGAAGTCATTTACCATTTAATGCTGTTTCCCCCTGCAGGCCAGCAAACAGTCCACAACAGCAGCATCTTTGCACATTTCAGGGGATAAGGGAAGTAAACCAAAGCCATGTGGGTCACCCTCCCCCATAAACAATAGGATCTTTGTTTAAGATCTTTGTTTAAGGGGGCACTGAGGTAATGCAACAGAGTAGGGGGTAAGGTGGGCAGTATCAGTGTCAGCCTTAGTTTAGGTGAGATAAACTCAAGAACTTGGAGAACATATTTTTGCCCTTCTGCTTGCCAGAGAATCAATGTATAAAGCTTACTGTGCTCACATATCGCCCATGATCCAGAGCTGGCCTTTCTGAATGCTGATGATCAAATGGGCATTCAGGTTCTGAGCAGAGAGGGACAGAACCCTGCTTTTAGGGGATTTATGCCATAGACACTGATGACCTGGTGTGCACTGGGCTCTAGTGTGGGGCAGTGTGAAGGAAGGCTTAGGCTGCAGGGAGAGGAGGGCTCAGGAAAGGGCAGGTGGTGGGTGGGGCAGGGGGCATGCCGTACTCCAGCTCCTACTACAAAGACACATGGGAGCAGAGGTGTGTACTAGAACACTCGCACAGCACTTGAGTTCTGGCTGTGCAGGGGGTGGCAGAGGACAGGGGCAGCATTCCCGTTATGGCCAAGGGCTTCAACATCCCGAGGCCACAGTGCACAACAAGCAGTTCCCTGGCAGGTCACAGACAGATGTCCAGCTTGGTGTGGTAATGCATTTCCCATAACCCCTCTCTAGGCACAGTAAGGTGTCTGGGCGCTTTCCACTGAGCTGCATGCTGTTGCAGGGCCACGCCAGCCACAGCAGGTGGCTCCAGCATAAAGCTGTGGCCACCCGGCTGGAGTAGGTGGGCACTGGTCCTGGGCACCAGTCCACTCACCCTACCGGGCTCCTCCCAGCCAGAGAGAGCCTATGCTGCTTGTCCTCCCAGCCCCTCTAAGAGGCCCTTCCCAGAGGCTCTGTCCAAGGTGCCATGATGAGCCCAATCGGCCCAAGTTGGCTGCTGGACTGGAGGTGTCCCGCATGAGCATTGTGGGTCACCTGGAAGCCCCTGCAGAAGGGTGGTGTGCTCCCACACATGTACTAGTCAGAGGGTCCACTGTTACGGCTGAGAAGGCCGGAACCCAGCTGCCAGCAAAGGCCTATCCAGCTGCTTTCCTCCTCTGCTTCCCTGTGTTCTGTCACCAAATGGGTGTATTTCTCTGTCTTGGACTCAGGCTCACTGTCCTTACCAGGGAAGATCCTGGTGGTAACCCATACCATGCTTGATAGCAAGCAGGGACTTGGTGAGAATGAACATGGAGGTAGAGAGGAGGTGGCAATACAGTCTACAAAACCCTCTGTCTTTGACTGACAGTGAGCATGGAAGAATGCCCAAGGAGCAGCTGGAGTGAGAGTTCCAGCCCAGCTGCATCCGGCACCTCTCAGCGGGAGGCAGAGCTCTCCTGTACACTTCTCCCACCTCATTCTGCAGGAGGCATGCAGGAGGGCCAGGATGGCAAGCTGTGACTCACAGAAGCTGGACTAGGGAATGCCAAGGGCCAGCTCGGCCTTGGTGGAAGAACAGGCTGAATCTTTAGGCAGGAAATCTGGAGGACAGGGCCAGTCTGGGTCCCTGGTGGTTTGGGAGATTCCAGATCAGGTCATGTCCTCTTCTTACCTTTCCTGCTCCAGCTCCTGGGAGCACTACAGAGGGCAGAATGAGAAAGATCCAGAGCCCAACCTGGGCAAAGGACAGCAGTGAGGAAGGCAGACAACCAGGAGCTGCTTTTTGGGGCCTGAAGTCTGTGACTTTTTGTTTAAAAATGTTAAATCAGATCAAGATGGCAGAATAGGGTAAAGGGCATGTTAAAACAGATGGAGAAATATTGGCCAATATGAAGCAAAAGTTAAAAGAATAGGCCTCTTCCAAACTTGCCTTAAAAAGGACACTTCAAGATGTTCTCTTGACAAAGAGGAATAGCACCCACCAAAACCAAAGGCAAATGTGAAGAACATCCCAGTAAAATGACAACAGAAGACTAAATCAATGAACAACCCATTCCTAAAATGAAAGAACCAAATTACCACACATTCATACTAACCCTGAATGGAAATTGCCTAAACTCTTTAATCAAACGTCATAGATTAGTAGACTGGATTTAAGAAGCAAAACCCATCTATTTGTTGCCTACAGGAGACACATTCCACCAATTTCACCAACAAAGATCAGCGGAAAGTATATCTAATGGATTTTTTTTTAATGTTTCATCTCTTCAAAACACTTTGTTCTGATCAAATTCTTCACCGACTCATAGATCATACAGTAGCATCCTTTTCTTCAAGAAGGTTCTTGATTTTCTTTTTCATTTCTCCAGTGACACATTAGTTATTCAGTAACATATTATTTAACTTCATGGTGTTGTTAATTTCCATTCTTCTTCCTGTTGTTGATTTTGTATTGTGGCTTTTCATTTAAGGGGATGTATAGTAACTGTGTAATGGAGACTATAATATCCAGATGTGAGGATACAATGCAGTATGCATCTCTACTTTCAGACCAAGATGGACTCCCAATGAAACTGTTTACAATATCTTGACAATAGGATGCTGGACTCTCTGCCATTGTCCATGCCCACAATGATGGACATATGACTGTTTATGAAGAACGATACTATAGCAATGATATAGGGGAACTCAGTGAAGGGGGAAGGAATTGGGGAGGGGATAAGGTAAATCCCAGGGCCTATGGAACTGTAACATAAAATGCTAATAAAAAAAAGAAATAAAAATGTTGTTAAGTCATCCATTTCATTATCTTAATCTGCTATGTCTTGTACTCCTTTCTAGACAATTAGGATCATAAAAGCCACTCACTCATAATTCTGACTTGGGTCAAAAAAAAAAAAACATGGTCATGGTATCTGTGAAATTCCTGGTATGCAGGAAGCTCCTCATAGTTGGCAGCTATTGTCCTCACTGCTAGCTTGAAGTCTTGGCTTGTGACTCATTTCTCTTGCTTGTGGTTGGTAGTGAGCAATGGAGCCAGGTCTGTCCTTAGCTTTCAGAGCTAGTCTTCCCTTGAGCATGGTCTAACTCCCAGTGCTCCTCCATCCTGCCCTCTTGCCCTCATTCTTTGTTAGCAGGATGTGCCTTTCTTGTCACCAGGCCCTCTACTCTCCCACCACCCCTTGCCCACCCAGCATGACCCTCCCTACCAGGACACTCCCTTCTCTTCACTGGGTCCTCACCAGCATTTCCTCCTTGTCAGGATTTCCAAAGTCTGGGTCTTTTCTCTGTTACCCAAGGACTTGGTTGTATGACATGAGACATGCAAGTGTCATCAATGCCATCTCTCAGACTCTGGGTGGTCCTTGGGCCTGTGGGAAATGCCAGAAGGCACCCTTCATTTGAATGGTTCCTCCTTTCTAAATCTCTGGGCTTTCCTTTGTTCTCTTGTTGACTATTGTTAAAACACAGGGGCACTCCTCCACTTTTTCTTCTCACTCTTGGTGGTTTCCCTTAATCAGTACTCTCATATGAAGAGTCAGTCCACTCATCTCTGAACAAACTCACGTATACTTACAATTAGTGTTCTAAGCTTCAAGGCCACGTATCCAACCAGGCCAGGAACAAGTTGACTACCTCATCTCCAATTTTTGTGTACAGAATCATGATTTATTTGGGATAGCAAAGCACACAGCCAGAGACAAGCATTCTTTTCTTCATTAGGCAACCTGGGATCATTAAAATCTGTCTGTTACCCTGCACTTCTGACTTTGCTGTGTTATTTCTTGCAGCAGGATTTCTTCCATGATGCAGACCAGGCTAATGTCTGGAGGAAGACTGTCGCCCTAGGAGTCCTGGGACTAAGGGTGAAGTGCCATGAAGCATGCCTTCCAGGCTGTTGCCTCAGTTTATCATTAGCACTTAAACAACAACAACAACAACAACAAAAAAACATGACAAACACAGCACTCCCAAACCCAGAAAAACATCTTTCAGTAAGTAGCTAAGAAAAATAATCAGCCGAGGAACTTA